TTTCAAAAAGAGAGAATACTAGAACTTTCTCTTTATAAGAATTTTGAGATGTTGACCTCTGCAGTGGTGCCCGTAGAGGGGCAAGGCTGGAGGGGCCAACGCTGCGCCCCAGGAGGGTGGGTGCTCGGGAATGAAGTCTGGGTTCTAAGACCTTGGGAGCTGTGACTGAGGGGAAGGGTCAGATGCGGTCAGGGGGTACTGCTGCGGTGGCGGGTCCTCAGAGACAGGTCCGGACATCCCTGCCACAGCCAATCTCCTCTGGACTCGAATGCCAAATGCCGGTGGAGGCGCATCTCCGGCAAGGTGAGAAGTACTTGGGGGCAGAGTACTTGGCAGGTCTTGAAGGGGTCCAGTTCTTTGGATTGTTGAACTTAGAACAGGAGCAGAGATTCCAGACTCAAGAAAAAGGGCTGAGCTTGATCGAGGCTACCTCGGAGAATGATAGTACTTTATGTCCAAGACTGAGAAATGCCAAAGTAGAAGACTTAAGGAGTTTAGCCAATTTTATTTGGATCTTGCACTGAAACTTTTGTCCTGGCTGTCAATATTTTGGACAGATTCTTGGCTCTTTGCAAGTGAAACCTAACCATTTGTCTTGCATTTGAGTCTTGTTTTTTTGCTGGCTGCTAGAACAGTTGAAGAGGCAATATTCCATCCGTTCATGATGGAACCTGGGTTAGTCAGTGCACATGTACTGCCTCTGACATAAAACGGACAGAACAAATAACTTCAGAAAAATTGCACTATGAATTGGAAACTACTACTGCCTTAAACCTTTTGTGCTTATATCATACTATTATACTTTGTCATACTTCAGAAAGGAAAGAAATAGTGAGCCTTGATAAACTAGAAGCTCAGTTGAAAGCCTGAAACTTATTATACTTTGTCATACTTCAGAAAGGAAAGAAATAGTGAGCCTTGATAAACTAGAAGCTCAGTTGAAAGCTTGAAACTTACTATACTTTGTCATACTTCAGAAAGGAAAGAAATAGTGAGCCTTGATAAACTAGAAGCTCAGTTGAAAGCTTGAAACTACCAACTTACTTTTCTAAAGCAAAATCATCTGTATTAGCTTTGTGCCTTCTCAATTTGGAAGTAGAAACTTTGAAATCCATTAAATTATTGGACATTTTCCTGCTTGTTAAAAAGCATTACAGGGTTAAATGACACCGAATTCATTTACAAGGAGGGAGTTAGTTCCTAAATGCCTAGAGGACTACACTCCTAAATGTCACAAACCAGATCTTAAACTGGTTTGGATTGTTTCAAGGCACACAGCTCAAAACCTCCACAACAGTTAATTATAGTGCCCCTGAGCTACCAGCAATACCAGAAGGAGGTTGTTTTGATGAAAGCAAAAGTGGGGATTCTTGTAGAGATAGGAGTTTGTGAAGAGAGTCTTAGTAGCTCTCCTTCCAGTGGTCAAGAGTGGACTTTCTTTTTCAGCTTCAAAGTGGCACAGACACTGTGCTTTCCACCTTAGAAATCTAATTGTTCTGTTTCAATTTACAGTTTCTGTACAGGTTTTAAAGCAATAAATGAAGGAGTAGGCAGTTTTCTGGTCCAGCCCCCATCTAGGCAGGAATTGCATAGACTGGAATATACATATCTACTTTCTATTTCTTGTTCAGATCAAATCTGGCCTATTTTCCTGTTTAATCCTAAACCATCCAGTAGGTTAGTGCTTCTCAAACAATTAATAATACTTTGGACATTGACACTTTATTTTTCTTGTTGATCTTTAGCTACTTGGGGGAAGAGGGAAAGTTTTGATACCTTCAATTTATTACTTTTCAAAAACTTTCAAAGATGAATAGTATAGCTAGTCTCAAACCTTTTATAAAGCCTTCAGGTGTTTTTATTTAAACAGATTAGGAGAGAACCAGTGCTTCCTTAGCAGGGAAAAATGGATAATCCTTTAGTGGTTTATCTTAAATCTCACCCCCCGCCCCGCCCCATTCTCAGAACAGAGAATGTACTCTTGAATGTCAAACACCTTTGTTATTGGTTTTGTAAAAATTATCACTTACTATCTGATGCAGACTCTATAAATTTAGGAATTACAATATTGCCATTTCTGTGAATATTAGTATATAATATGTTGGTTGAGGTTTCTGCCAAAGCAGAAATAACCGACAGACTATGGTTGTTAGATAATTGCATTTCTAATGCCTAAGTATTGTCAGACTGTAGTATTATTTTAATGTTATTTAAAACAATCCATAATCTGCTAGTTTTGCATGCACCTGTATGAAAGCAGTGCAGGAAGTTGAACAGAACTAGGTAACTATGGAATTGATAAAGTGTTGATCTAATAACACATTTTATCTCATTTTTGTGTATTAAAAAAGTCGGCTTGATTACATTTTATTTCCTTTGTAATTCACGTGTAATTCAAAAATAATAGTATTAGTATATTGGTGCCAAGATTGAATATGAAGTTAAAAAAAAACCTGTGTAGTGTTAGAGTTTTAAGTACATCTGTGTGGTGGTACAGTCATGAGAATAGGGATTTATAAACTCTGTACACATGAAATTTTGTACAGTTTTTAAACTTTATAAACTATATGAAAATGTACATAAAATCTTAAAAAATGTACATAAAAATAACTTTTTACCTTGTGTGTGTCAGTCTAGTAATTGCATGTAAATATAATTTATTGTGTATTCTGTATTATAAAGCAAACATGATGGCTTACTTTTTTAGTGGTAAGTCAGCATCCATTGGATGTCTTCTGAAGTGGATCTCTTTGAAGTTATAATGGATTACAACTCAAAAATATTAATGAATCATAAAAGAAACTTGAGCCCTGGCTGGATAGCTCAGTTGGTTAGAGCATTGTGATCTCAGGTCAGGGCATACATAAGAATCAACCGATGAATACATAAGTAAGTGGAACAACAAACAAATTGATATTTCTCTCTCTCCCCTTCCCATCCCCCCACACCAAATCAATAAATAAATACTTAAAAAAAGAAAATAAATTTTGAAAAGTCCCAAAGGCAAAGAAAAAGAGAAACTAGATGAGTATATGGATGGGCATTTCCATTAAAGCCATCTGAAAAAACTTGGAAGGTTGCGGTGAGGGGGCACCACTGTGGTGGCAGGTCCTCGGAGACCACCGAGCTTCCTAATTACCCACAAAAAAGATTAGGGAGATTTCTGTATATTACACAGTCTCTGGTGAGTATACAAGTAATGGAGAACAGACAGTTTACTTCTAAGTTCTTTAGAGAAGTATTTGTGTTCAGTGACTAAGCAAAAGGAAAAATCTTTACTCAGATTGAAATCAGTGTCAAATGAAAGAATTTATCGTAGAGTTAGCTTTATAAGTTATCTGCTTGGGCTCCTGTAAAAGAAAACCCTAGTTTAAAAAAATAAGAAATACCACATAACAAGAAGTTCCCAGGTAGTTTCCATGGTTGATTGACTCTGGTCCAGTCTGTTTTTCTGCTTTGCTCTGTCATCATTAGAGAACTGACTTCATTTTCATTTCTCTGTGGATTGGATGTAGCATTTGTGTATGTCGCACACAGATATGAAAACTTATAGAAGAATAAAAGTAGATTTTTCTCCTCTTTCTGTTTGTTTAGGAGTAGGAAACATTTCCTAGAAGTAACCACGCCCTCCCCCACCCCGCCAAATCCTCATATTTCGTTAACCACTATTGTGTTCCATGTATTTCTTAAATCAGTCTTTGGTGAGGGGCATGGAATTGAGGATTGATAATTATTTGGGATAGAATGGATGTATGTGGGGAGTTCAGTCTCCATGACCATTATAGTACTATTGTAACAAATCCCCTTAAGTAGTAGATTCAGAATTTATTGGTGTGTGATTTTGTTTAAGAGATATATGCTTTTGGTTAAATTTCTTAGTTTTTCGTACATCTCCCTATCTAAAAAATGGAGGTGATAATGCCAAGTTCATAAGGTTGTTTTTAGAATTAAATCAGATAAGGTAGCATGGATTCTGACATTTAGTAAATATGCAATAAATAATTACTATAACTGGTACTTTTATTTCTGTGTAGTTTTATACTCAAAGAAGACTATGAAAGTGGCATTTTCACTTTAAAGGATTAGTTTTGATTTTTCCTGAAGATACAAGGGCCTAAACCAAAGTTAAGAGTTCCCATTTTCTTTAGTCTTCCTGTACAAGGGGGACCACCCCCAGAAAAAAAAGCCTGAACTTTATTTATAAAATATTGTGTATTCATTCTTACATGTCTCAACTTCAGTCACCTTCAAAGTACTCTGCATCTGATACAATACACCTGTCAAGACTTTTTTTCCACTGCTCAAAGAGTTTTTGAACTTGTTGATTTTGATGCCTTTTAGTGCTTCTGCTGTTTTTCTTGTTTCATCTCTTCCACATTGGCAAAACATTTCTCTTTGAGGACTTTTTTTCATCTGGGGAAACAAGAAAAAGTTGTTCAGGGCAAGATCGGGTGAATAGGGATGGTGGGGCACGGGGATCATGTTGGTTTTGGTCAAAAATGACCAAACACTCAGCATGATGTGGGCAGGTGCACTCGAAAATCACCCATCATGAAATGGGCAAACACGTTTAAGGGTCTTATAAAACTGAAGCCGAACGCAGCCTCTCACAAGAATGCCAGCTGGTGCACTGATACACATGGGTTCCTAGAACACTCACCTATCAGGGGAAGCTTGTACTACCAAGGGGCCTGCCCTCCAAAAGATAATTTCTGGAGTTTTTTTTGGAAATTACAGTAGTAACAAAAATGGGGAAAGCATAGTAAGTTTAATATGAGCTGCCATTAAAACAATTTTTTTTACATGGTTGTGTCAACTAATACTTTACTTTTCCTATTTGAAGTAGCATGGAAACTGAAGTGACATATTTTATGAAAATGTGCTATTAATGACATTAGTAATTTTCCTTAATGCAGGCTTTTACAGTTTTGTCTTTTTGCTATAATAAAAAATGTAAGCTGGTTAAAGTGTAATTCTCTCTCATTCTTTGATACTTGCAGATGGCTTGTTCAATCAGTATATCAGTCAACAGGAGTATAAGCCACGATGGAGTCAAATCATTCCCAAAAGCACCAAAGGTAAGTCCTACTTTCCAGGTTATGGGTACTTTTGCTATAATGTCTCATTTTCATATTTCCCATGGTAGCTCAAGTTTCACAGTGCTCTGTTAATGAAAAGCAGGTGTTTAAAACAAGATGTAGATTCCTTAACTAGATGGCCGATTTAGTTTATTATATTAACAATTTTGAAACCTTTTTGTTTTACTGCTCTAACAGAAGGTAGGGCAGTTTTACATAGGATGCCATCATTAGCCACTTCTATAGAGACACTGTAAAATTATAGGCCATTGTGCTGTAATGCCGCACGTATTCCAGAAAAACCTTAAGTTCTGCAGAATTGCCCACTAAAGCTAATAGGGCTCCTGACACTAATGGAAATGAGCATACCATTCTAGGTCTATGGAATTTTATATCCAGGTCCTAATAAAAATGAGAGTAGTAATTCTAATAAAAATAAATAATATTAGTATAGTTAAATATTTGCAAACACTTACATTGAACATTACAATGAGTTTGGAGCGTTAAACTCAGGGGCTCATGTTTCCTTTGAGCACATTTTCTTCTAATAAAAGCTGTTTTAGTCATAACTTAAAAGCGTCATCCAGGATATAGTTTTCTTCACTGATCCGTTTTTTCACTTTATCTTCACCCTCTGCTCTGCAAGTTGGTTAACATAGAGTAGCAGTTCTTTAATACAACTACTTGCATTAAAGGAAGGCAGTTCTATGGATATTCCTTTTGGTCTTTTTCCTATAGTCTTCATATATTGAGTGCTAAGGGCTTCTCTTTAATCATGAGAAAGCTTTCTTCTGATAGTGTTAAACATTAAAATACGGGAGAAAATTGCCATAAGCTATATAATTTCTGTCATATGAATAACATTTTCTTATTTTATCCGTCATATATGAGGTAATTTTCTTCAAAGAAACAGATGTTACAGCAAACAGACTGTGTATTTGAAAACAAATGGATTAAATATATAAAATACAAACATACTGACAATAAATTCATTTTTCTTAATATGTTTTTGCAAGTGCCAATACTTACTCGGGGAAGAAGGAAGAACAGAACAAAACTTCAATGATAATGAGCTGCAAAATGTAAACCTAACTCTTAGTAAAAAGGAGAAAGAATTTGCAGAGAACTTTTGAATGATTAGCTCTTAAATAGTAATGAAAAGCTTCAGTTTTGATCTTAGTCTTTATGTATAAAAAGTGACATTTTAATCTTTTTCATAGTACCTGTGTGAAATTAGTAAAAAGCTGGATGTTTCCTATTTTACATAGGAGGAAGCTGAAACAAGGAAAGGTGTTAGTCAAAGTAATGTATTTCAGTTAATGTGAGAGTTACAAAGAAAACCTTAGGTTTTCTCATTTATATCAAGTAAGACATTAGAATCCTGTAAGGTGTCGAACTATTGATATGAAGTTATGTCTTCATTTATATTAAAATTTGGTATAAAGTAAGATTAGATACAAGTTTAACATTAGTTTTCTCCTACAGAAGTTTAGAAGTTTCACTGATGGAAATAAACAAAGGAAAGTAAATCTTACATGTTTTCAGTCAGTACTCATGTAAAATAGTGATCTATTGTGTGGGAACTGTTTTCTGAAATAATGACACAAAGTTAACACAGTAAGAAAAGTATTAGTATAAAACTTGATAACCTTGTATCTTTAGGTATCTGGTTTTATGAATTTTTAAAACTGCTCATTATATTTACAAGTTCTACCTGGATTATAGACCTGATATCTAATTCTGTAATTGTTTTCCACCTTCACTTTGTCACTTTAGTAATTTAGAGTTATCTTGTCTTGGGTTTTTGTGGAATATTCTGTGTCTTTGCTGGTTTATGGCATTGGTTATAAATACATTGAAAATACCTTCCAATTGCATTAATAGCCTGAAAGCAATTGCTAAAAAGAGAAGATCATTATTATAAACACAACTATTAGTTATGTTATTTTTTGAGTCATTTTACTTATTCTTAATATTGAAAGAATAAGTGTGTGTTATTTTTACTATTCATTACAGACTTATGAATAAAGTTATTCCGGTTTTGTGGTTGTTCTGTATTATCTCCTTTACAAGAAAATACTGTTTCTATTTTAGGTGACGGGGAAGATAACAGACCAGGAATGAGAGGAGGTCATCAGATGGTTATTGATGTTCAAACAGGTAAGGGATACTTGCAACGAATAGCAAATTTTTGAAAAATTATGCAGTTTTAAATATCAGGTAAACATGAATATACTTCCCATTCACCACAAAGGTTAAATGTTACTGACCATAACCAAGCAGCAGAGGAAATAGGCATTAGCCATGGCTATAATCTAAACTAGGCAGTGACTCATAAGAGAGGAGAGGCTGCTGCGCAGATGCAATAAAATAACCTAAAAGAAGTGTAATGTGTAGCCCTTTATAGTGTGTAATTTTATTTGTATTTGATTTTCACAGTAAACTGTGATGTATTTCTGGATTTTCAGTGCATTTATATTTTAATGCCATACTATGGAAATTATAGCAATAAAACAGACTTAAGATATATTTTTAGAAGAAGAGACTACCAAATTAGGTAGCTTAAGTGTTGGTGGAGCCATTAATTGCTAAACACTGTTCACAATCCTATAAATAATTTATTTTAGTTATTCTTTTTTGCTGCCTTTTAAGTTTTCTATAATTTAGTATTGAAAATTTTCCTTAGATTTCTACAGGCTAGGACAGCTTAAATATCATTATATTTAGAGGTTAATGCTAAGATTGTGACAGGTTTCAAATCACCATCTTGACAAGCAAATAATAGCAAGAATTTAGTATAATTTTATTTTCTGATTTTAGAAAATTATCTACATCGACTGCCAATATTCATCCAAGTAATATGTTATGTTTTCCAATGTAACTCATTCCTGTTGTGTTATGCTCACTCACAGTGTTATAGGAATAAATAAGTTGTTTTTGAGGATCATAAAATAATTAAGAAATAACTTAAAAATACTTTAATGTAGATAATCTTCTAGACATTAATATATTTTCACAAATATTTTATAAATAACAAGAGAAATTATAATATTTAAAAATTAACTGCTTCTACTCTAAAACATATCATAATTAAAGTGCCAAAGTTTAAAAATAAAGAGGGCATCTTAAAAGCAGCAAGAGAAAAGCAGTTAGTTACCTACAGGGGAGTTCCCATAAGACTGTCAGCAGAGTTCTCAAAAGAGATTTTGCAGGCTAGAAGAGATTGGCAAGAAATATTCAAAGTCATGAAAAGCAGGGACCTACAGCCAAGACTGCTCTACCCAGCAAAGAACTCATTTAGAATTGAAGGTCAGATAAAGAGCTTCCCAGACAAGAAAAAACTAAAGGAGTTCATCATCGTCAAGCATGAAATGTTCTAGGGACTTATTTTAGAAAAAGAAGATCAAAACTATGAACAATAAAATGGCAAAAAATACAAATCTACCAGCAATTGAATCTAAAGAACAAACTAAGCAGACAGAAGAACAGAAATAGAATCATGGATATGGAGCAGGTTTTGATGGTTGCTGGATGGGAGGGAGATGTTGGGGAATGGGTGAAGAGGTGAGGGGATTAAGAAGTACAAATAGGCAATTACAGAATAGCCATGGGGGTATAAAGTACAGTATAGAATTGAGTAGCCAAAGAATTTACACGCATGACCCAAGGACATGAACAATGGTGTGGGGGTGCGATGGCCTGAGGGAGTGGGGCGTGCTGGTTGGAGGGAGACAAAGGGAGAAAAATTGGAACAACTGCAATAGCACAATCAGTGAAATCTAATTAAAAATTTTTAACTGCTAAATTTGTATCGTAACCTGTGAACTTGTTTAGCAGTGTTATTAGGGTCTCTGGACAAGGTTCATTTCAAGACCTAGGGGTTTGCTTTCCTGATCTTGGCCTCTCTTCTCTTCCCTCCCACAGCAATAGGCTTGACTCAGCTGTGGAGTCTTAGGCATCTGAGCATCTTGTTTTCTACCTGAGAGTACAATACATATGCTTATTGCTTAAAGAACCAGATGTATGTACAAATGTTTTTTTAATCTAGAAAAATGCAATACTTGATGAAAATAGAGGTGAAACTTTTTGTTTAGATGGTCTCCAGTAGCTTTTTTTCTCTTTTGAACATATAGTGGAATTTATAACGTGTTTTTTAAATTTCTCAGTCATAACTGAAAATATTATTCAACTCTTTTTTTAAAAGTATGACAATAATATACTGAATAAGGGGGGTTATTTGGAAAAGCTTTAATTTTCTAAAAAAAAAAAAAATGCTGCTTTTTTACCATGTGAAAGTAACGTGGTTTATTTTAATATTTGAAGCTCACTTCTCCAGGGAGCAGAAGGAATTTTTATAGTGCTTAGTGTATTGATTATTATGCAGTAGGTAAAGTATATGTGTAAGAAAAGAGAAAATTTTCCTCATATCTGTAATCTATGAATTTTCAAAATAGAAAATAAAAAGATTCAAATAATATGCAAATGTCACGACAGAACTTAATATGAGCAAGTCATGAAGATTAAAAGGTAATTATTTGAGTAAGAGATCCTTGAAGTGAATGCAGTACAATGGTAAAGGTCCAAATATTTTTCTATAATGTCTTTCTCTTATGCATTAAGGGTAGGATTTCCACAAACTCTTGATGGTCAGCGTATGGTCCTTAATTCCACTCCATTTAAAAACATATCTCAAGGAAAGGGAAAAAAATTGTTTGAATATTTACTTCATTTGCTTTAGTAACAATAATTATAAGAAAGCATACCAAGAATAACTATTGTAGTTATGGATATTACTCCAGATGGGGTGTTTGAAAGAATAACCTCTTTTTGATACCTTATGAGGATTTATTGATAGGGTAACAAAGTCTACCAAAAATTGACCTACATCTGTACTTCTAGTATCAGCATTAGTTTATAAAGAGTAATGGAAGTACTTTGGAAATGCATTTTTAAGCAAATATTTCTACCATGGAAGATTTAGGATTTGTCCAGTAGAGGGATTTTTATTTAAAGCCATTTTGTATCTGCTTCAGTGCTTTCTAAAAAACTTTATGAGTGTTGAATCAAGCTTTATTTAGGTCTATGGGTGATGATAAAACTAGATTTTCAGCATTTAACTTAAAATCTGGTATAGCCTAATAATCATAGATGGTCAATTAATAAAAAGTTGCCCATAGGTCAAATAGGCTTGATGTCAGTATGTTATCATTACTGCTAGTAGTGTGGAAATAGTACTCACTATGCATGAACATTGAGGTTGAAAGGATTAACCAAGCAATTCTTTGTATGAGTAATAGGGATGGTGCGTAAAACATCTTGGTGTGAAATTCTTCCTTTTGGTTTTCAGAAATGTTTTAAGTATGTTTTGATGAAGATTCTACTTCAGACCTCTTATATTCTTTTGATATCTTGAAGTGGGAATTGGCGTTGAAGTGAAGATTCTTTTTAAATTTATTGTTGACCATTGAGGGAAAAGCTAGAAGGACACACGCCAAAATAGAGACATTCATTTTGTCTGGGTGGTAGTTACCAGTGGTTTTAAATTTCATACTATAAAATGTAGTATCAAAAAGATTTTTATCATTAATAAATATAAGTTGCAGAAAATATCAATCTTCAGTATTCCTTTTAGGAAGGACTTGTATTTGGGAAGGTGCTTTAGAGTAAAAGGTAAAATGCTGAGGAGAACTGATTGTAGAAGGAATTATTCTTTGCAATATACTAAGGAGAGCTTGCTTGTTTTATTCTAGTACATAGATTATGCTTTCTTAAAGCTGTACTTACCAGTACCTTGGGATCTAGGTGGAAAAAATAAAAATTTTATAGAGCTTTGCATTCTTTAGGGTAACATTTAATGCTTTCTGAATTTAATTTGGGTACAAGAACCGAATCTGGGATATACTTGGAACATTTTTTTCTAGAAATCCTTCTGTTTCTATTATAAAACTATTGATAGCAGGATTTACCAAGGTACTTTCATATATTTTGAGTATTTCATCATGTATGTACCAGTGCACCCTTAATCAGGTTGGCCTTACTTATCTTCAAAGAGATTATATTTTTTGTAAATCTTTGAAAGAACCTCGATGTAACAACTGGGTTTGAGTTTGTGGGAACAGTGAGTGTACGTGTATGCGTGCATATATATGTTAGACATACCTGGGTTTGAATCCACCTGACTTTACTACTGTCTTTTTGATCTTGAATGAGTTTTTATAGTAATAATAAAAATTGGAATAATAAATTAAGTTGTAATGAGAGTTAAAAAAATAATGTACTTTATATATAAAGTATGTATCATTTATATATTTTTATAGGCAACATTAATATATAGTATATACTGATTAGTTCTGTTTTTGACAGAATCTCACAGTGGAGATATTTATAAATAATTTTAAAATTTGAAAAACGATTTAAAACAACTTGAAAAGGCTGTGTTGTGGGGAAAAACAAGTTACCCACTATTACTTTGGTATATGTGTTTCATCTTTTATATATATTGTCCTAATTTTAGAAGGGAAGAGAAGCCATTAAGTATACTTGTGAGATTTCTAGGGAAAAAAATGTTAAAACCCCACTTAAGAATTTTGTTGACAACGGAGGAGGCAGGCTTAGTAATAAACAATAATTTTTCTCCCCAAACAGAGTTTGAAGAACTTGGAAGTTTTATCTTTATGAAGTTGGTGACTAAGTAGTAAAATTGAGTTTAGAGAAGCCCAATTGTTACTTTAAATAAATACGTGTATGCTCTTCAAAGGTTTCCAGACTGAGGGTTCTTAATCTGTCCAATTTACATACAAAATTTTGTTTGTATGTTTTTCTGGGAAGAGAGTCCATGAATTCAGATCATCAAAGGGACTGTTAACTCAAACAGTTAAGGACACCTTTGCTACAGTAGAAGTTCATAAAATACATTGCCTCTTCTTTTTAAACTGGTCTGTACTTTAGAGCAATTATTGCTTCATAGTGTTTCATGTGTCTTGTTTTCTTAAATATTAAAAACTTAATAGTACCTAAATTTATTTTCCTTTTTTAGTTTTCAGTTTTTTTCATTCACTACAGCTGTAAGAGTGATCATTTTAGAAAGTACATGATGACATAAATTTTACTATTTAATTTTCAAACCTCCCAATCTAAGTGAATTCTATCATTCATACCAT